TGCTAAAAGCTAATTCCCTTTTCAGCTGCAGGTTATTGCCAAAAGTAAATAAATACATAATATGTAAAAAAATATTTATTGAATAAACGACCTTTCTTTCAATTAAAAATTTATCATAAAAACTCTACAGAAGAATCACTGTTTGCTTTACATTAGCAGCAGCATCCTCTTTACTTTCTAATGTAAAATAAACAAGACAGGAAAAATGGATTTTCATAATTTGATATGGGATACGATCTTCTAGTTACACTGGTGATGAGAAAAAAGGATAAAAATAGTATTTGATTTCTACATTACCACACATTTTGGGTCTAGCATATATTATGCTACAGTCTCAACATGTATTGCTTTTATCATAGGATACACTGGTAAATGAACAACAAAAAAAATCTATCAACTTAAAAAGAAAAAAAAAAGAGATATTCAAAAATCATTCACTTAAAACAGTTTTTTGTTTTGGGGCAGCATTGTATGGCCTGCAGGATCTCAATTCCCCCAACCAGGGAATGAACAGAGGGCCACAGCAGTGAAAGAGCCAAGTCCTAATCACAGGACCACCAGGGAAGTCCCTTAGAACAGCTTTTTGATAAACCTACTTTGCCACAAAACACAGACCAAACCAGATTAACTCTTCATTTTTAAATTTGCCAGGTTTATAACAAACAGCCTATGACATTCCCGTTGTCCTTACCTCACCTTCCTCTTCACTACTTCCATTGTCTCCTTTTGCTACTATATACCTCTGATGTAGCAGATCTGGGTCAATGACAGTGTGTGGCGGAGAGAGGTAGAAGACACAAATCCAGGATTGACAGTTTCAAGGGTATTAACAGTAAAATATTAGTTTGACAGCTGGTTGTAAAATTACAGCAGTCTAACACATAAGAATTCATTTGCTGTGCTCCAATTTTATGTACTTGGGGGGGCAGGAAAAAGAATCCTAGTGAATACTATTGTTCTTTTTTTTAATTAATAGAAAACATGGCTCATCAAAATTTAAGCAATGATGAACATTAAAAAAAAAACCTATTTCTCTATACTCAGAATCAAAATGCTTACTTACTCTTAGCAACTTGCACATGAATGGACTTGCACATAAAATGAAGTGTCATGATAGGTATAACATCACTTTCAAACAGGAATATTTTGCTGTTTACAAAACAAATGACTGTGAGCCACACCAGCTAGTTGTGAATTAAGACAGTCAATGCCATAGATGTAAATTTTTCAGAATTTTTCAACTGCATTCTAAAATTCAAAATTATATCTTCTCTGCAGTCCTTAAGTAGATCAAATGACCCTGAATTCAAGTGACCCCTCAAATCCTACCAAAACAAAATTATATTAATAACAGAATAATCTAGATTCTACTCTTGGACTAGACTCTTTTCTGTGACACTCTAAACTCCCCGAGGCCATTCTCCCTCCTTCACTTCCACTCCTCCTCCTTCCATTTCAACTGATAATATCACTTATAAATCAGTCCTTTATTCCCTGTCTTGTTTATTTTGTAATTAATTCTCCTAATCCAACATTTCATCTACCACCTATACAAAACTTGTATCTGACTTCAGCTTATTGGGACACATTTATTTAGCAACCAAACTTTAACAATCCTCTCACCCAACTCCTAAAATGGATGCCTTATAAATTAACATCTATCATAAAAATGCTAGATTCACCACTCTTTCCTTTACTTTCATATTTAATACCACATTCAATTGATTTCATCCCTTCCAAAGTCCCTGGTATCGACCTTCCATTCCATTTCCCCAGCCATCAGCCACTCCAGGTCATTATCTCCCACATGAATTATTTCAGTGGCCTCTTAACAGATCTCTCTACCTACTTTCAACCTCTCCACACTTTATCCAACATACACAAAGAGCTGCCAGAATTTACCCACTTCAACTTGCCCACTGAGAAGCCCAGAGTGCCTTCCTACTGTTTCAAATCCAAAGTCCTTAGCCAAATGTTCTAGATAGTCACAGTGGAAAGGTATTTTATTTCATCACCTAAGTAACCAGGTTTTTTTCCCTTCAATTTCTTAAGAAACATAGCTGCGGTTAGACTTCTACATGTCTCTAGCTTTCAAAAGTCATTCAAGAAGCCACAAGTGGTATCATGTAAGGGTTAAGAATATGGATTCTAGAGTTTGACTAGAATCCAGTCTCTACCATTTATGAGCTAAGTGACATTAACCAACTCATTTAACTTCACCTATTTAACAGGAGGGGTTTCCCAGGTGGCTCAGTGATAAAGAATCTGTCTGCTAATGCAGACAGAATCCAGAATCAAGAGATACAGGTTTGATCCCTGGGTTGGGAAAATCCCCTGCAGAAGGACAAGGCAACCCACTCCAGTATTCCTGCCAAGAAAAATCTCATGGACAGAGGAGCCTGGTAGGCTACAGTCAATGGGGTCATAGAGTCAGACACAACTTAGCAACTGAGCATGATTTAACAGGAATAATAATGCTATCTCCTAAGGCTGTTAAAGAATCTGCCTGCAATGCAGGAGACCCAGGTTCAACCCCTGGATTAGGAAGATCCCCTGGAGAAGGAAATGGCAAACTACTGCAGTATTCTTGCCTGGAGAATCCAATGGACAAAGGAGCCTGGTGGGCTACAGTCCATGGGGTCACAAAGAGTCAGACACGACTGAGTGACTAAGCATGCAGGAAGGTTGTTATGAAAATTAATAAAATATCCTTACCTGAAATACTGTAAATTAACTATACGTCAGTTTAAAAAGAAAAAAATTAATACCCTAAAAGACTAGGCCAATACCCAGCATACTTCAGAATGATCAATAAATGATAGCCATTGTCATTATTATTACATGACTACAAGGATCTAGACAAATCAATTTGACTATCGTACCAGAGGCTATGTATTTGCCTTCATCGTTCTTGACTCCCTCAACCACAAGGTGTGGAACATGGGACAGGTCTCAAAGAGGGACTAGTCACGTTTACCTGTCTATTCAAGTCTTGGCTCAATTCTCCCCTTTAATTATCCAACATGTTAGTGTCTACTACTAAACTAAATACAAGTACATACATGACACACAGTAAATAATTCCCAGTGAATATTTTGATAAATATGTTAAGTTGCTAAAGAAATGCATAGTGAGTATGTATTTTTGCCTGCTATTGTTTCTAAAATATTAAAAAACCAAATGCATCTAAAACAAAACTGTTTCTAAATAATGCCCTATAGCTTCAAGTAACTATAGTTTGAAGTATTTAAGATATAAACTCAAAATCTATGTTACTTGCTAATAGCCCTCAACCTGATTCAACTAACTATATTCTGTATCAAGCTGTTTCAGTTACCAGAAGGTAGTATCTATGTTCTGACTCATCAATAACTCTTGGGTCAATACTTTACTGCTACTGCTAAACATGTAGTTAATGAATTCCACAAATTTTCAGTATAAAAAGGGCATCATCAAAATAATGTGTAAAAAGATAAAATTTGAAAGCTTTCAAGAAGTGAGGCATAGTCCCAGCCCTCTTCTCTCCAAAATCAAATCCATACAGAATCACAGATTTTTTTCCACAAGATTTCTAAAGCTGAAAGGACTTCAATTCCCATTCCCTTATAGCCCATTGAGAACTACATGAGAAGATGAAGCCCAGGAAGGTCAGATAATTAGCTCATAGGTAAAACCACAAGATAGGGGCAGGACTGGCAATTGAACCCAGTGTTGCCAACACCTGGTCAATGCTCTGTTCATTAGTTCATGAGGCATTTCCACCGATTTTTCCTATGCCTACTTCATTTAGAAAACAAAATTAACTATATCACATGAATTCCTCATGAAACAACTGGGTACATGGTGTGGTTAACACTGACATATTTTTGGTTATTTTTAAGAACTCTTGTGAGAAATCAAGGTTTCAAAGCACAAACAGAGCATTTCTATTACAATTACTTTTGTGCTGGAAATGATGCTTCCCTTTACCAGTTTATAAAATTTAAGATTCTCATTTTCACTAACTGGTCATCTATGTAGCCTCCTCCCCAACAATAGCTTAAGCAATCCACATTTCTCAGATAAAAATGTCATCTGCACCAGGCTGATGCGCATGTTAGAATCTGTTCCTAATATAGAATCATAGACTTTTGGAACTGGAAGGAACCTTGGAAGATCACCTCTCATTTTACAGAGGAAACTAACACCCAGCAGGGACCTGCCCAAGGTCAAAGTTTCTATACAAGAACGGGTCCAGAATAAACCCGTTCTCAAACATTCTCAAAAGAATTCAGAGAGAAACATAGTATTTGGTAGGACATCTAAGCTTGTCTCCCTTTATATGTACTTAAGCACAATTTCCTGCATGCAGAACTTCTGAAATTAAGAAATGAAAGCAAAACAAAAAACTAAGCCAATTTTTCAAAAGTCTACAGCCAAGTCACTGATCATAAAAACTCAGCAGAAGTGAGGGTGGATTCTTGCAAGAATCACAGAATACACAGAATAAATGTTACAGAATAACATTTTGTAACACAACCCCCAAAGCCCATGGATATAATAAAAATAAATGGAGGAAGAAAAGACACACATAAATTAAGAATAACTATTATATTCTTATCTCTGTAACAAACTGCACAGAGAGTTGCTTAGAAGCAGGAAAACTTTATAAACATAATTTTCAAAGAACAAAGAATTTGAATCATACCTATCAATTGCACAAGTGTGTCAATATGTTTTGAAATTTTATTTTGGTCACAATGCTTAAGGGAAGCTGAAATTTTTCTCCTTAGTGATTTTTATGTCTTAAGTCATTTTAAAAAAAAAACAGTAATTTGAGGGAAATCTTTTTATCAAATCTTAATAAGAGTTATAATCTATATTATTTATTCTCATGTTCTGAAGAATACATGAAAATACTGATAAAACATTCCTGAAAGCTAAGGCCTGAAAAGTACTAGACTTACACCATCCCCCCACCCCCGCCCTACCAAGAAGAAGCACAACACATAAGCCATTACCTGTAGGAATATGTTTCTTAACTCCTGAGGATCACCTCGCTTGGTTGTCTGTAAAGGAAAAAAAAAAAAAAAAAGGCCAGTTAATGCTTCACTAGAGATCACATAATCTCTGCAGATTAGAGTTCACAGATGCTAACAATCAATGCTCTTATCTTTTACAAGTGCATTTAGTTGAAAACAAACTAAAAGCACTAATACTGATAACAACTGTCAAATTGGAGTTATGTGATCACACGGTGGAAAGACAGGTGTGACGAGACTAAGAAACAGCAAAATCTATCAGATAGATTTCCCCTGGGCTGGAAAGGAAAGGCCATGAGAATCAAGCCCTTACTTTATTCCACATCCACTAGCGACAGTGAGCATCCACCCACCTTCAAGCCAAGAGTCCAACAAGAGAAGAAACAACAGCAAAGTTGAAACACCCAAATTAATCGCATGGCCTACTGGCCTTTCTTCCCGTGGAAAGCAATGCAGAATATAATTATCTCTACGCCTCCTTCTTTCTCCACCCAACCTAAAATAACGAAAGCGGCTACAACGTTCCCAAATACTTTAGACATCCTGCCACCTGCAGCTCAAATGCCAACCGCTGCCCCTGGCTCCAGAGGCCCCCAAATACTCACTCACCCCCTCCCCCACCACAATACACGGATGCCTTGGGTATCCCCGGCTATCCATGCCACTTCCTCCCACTCCCTTTCTGATGCCCTCCAACTGCTGGCTCACAATCCCATATACCTAGGGCAGGATACTCCTCCTCCTTCACCGACCAGTGGTCCTTACAAGCCCCTCCAACTCACAATCCCTCCTCCTTCCCCTCCCCCCGCCGGGCATCCTCTCCCTCCGGTCCAAGCCCCGCACAGTTCTTCCTGGAGCCCCAGGACACGCCATCTAACAATCAGGCAAAAAAGTCAATGGGAAGACGTGGGGGGCTGCAGGCAGGGTCCCCGGAATGTCTCTTATGAAATAAAGGCAGCAGCAGAGAGTTAGAGTCACCTTGACCGCCATGCTGTGCTCGGAAACCGGGGACGAGCGAGTGAGCGAGCAGGGCCGAGCTGTCAGGGCGCGCGCGCGCCGCCTCCTTGGCCGTGCCCGCCCTCCCGCTCGCCGGCGCCGCGCGCGTCCCTATGCAAATAAGCCCGGGGCGGGCGGGGCGGCGTGAAGGGCCGCGTCCCGGCCAGAAGCGGCTGGTCCGCAGCGCGAGGAGGCGGACCGGCCTCCCACGGGGCGACCTCGGTGTCAAACTGTGGGATTCCGACGCGCCGCGTGGTTGCCAGCAGCTGAGTAGCTGCCAGGAAAGCCCCAGGTCTCTTAAGGCCTCTTGCAGGGTGTGGCTTTGCGCGCCTACTTCAGCCAAAGTCGTTTTCCCTTGAGACTTACAGGAACACTTGAGGCCTAGATTGAGCAGGATTTCGAAGGATCAAAGAACGTGTCTCAATAATAATAAAAACAACGATAATAATTGAATCGTTGACGAGAGGGAAATACTGACAATAAAACAGCCTGGGACTCATTCATTCTGGGGCAAACGTAGCATTAGTGCAATAATCCCTCCTCCACCCTCTTTGATGTTTCCAGTGTTGAATCTAACAAGAGGTTTCCCTTTTCTAAAGTCTCACTAATGGTTTTATTTCTGTTAAGTATCCAAGTTAATGGGCTTTCCAGGGGGCACTAGTGGTGAAGAATCTGCCTGCCAAAGCAGGAGACAGTAGGTTTGATTGCTGGGTCAGGAAAATCCTCTGAAGGAGGAAATGGCAACCCTCTCCAGGAAAGTTTCCTTGCCTGGAAAACTCCATGGACAGAGAAGCCTGGAAGGCTACAGTCCATCAGGCTGCAAAGAGTCAGACTTGACTGAGCACCCGGCACACACATCCAAAGAAATGAGGAAAGTGCAGCGGCAGATGGAAATTGTGGATAAGGAACAATTTATTACAAGTACTCCTAAAGTGAGCTTTTCTTCTGCAGTAGATGTAACTGTCTGCCACCATCACACCTCTTTGTTCCGTCTGTTCAAACTTCTTTTAACAATGTAATTGGATATACGTACTAAGTCACTTCAATCGTATCCTACTCTTTGTGACCCTATGGACCAAGATTTACAAATTCATAATTTGTTTTACTAGCACCTTAAGTCCCTGACACTCTGCTTTCTTATTGTATGAAGTTTCTCTAAGTAGGAATCTCAAGATGTTTATTGTATGTTACTTTTCAAGGGAAGGATGTCTGTTTGTAGCCCAAAGTCCCTCAGTTCGAATAAAAGTACTTAAGGGAAAGGAAGGCATTTATTTAAATGAAGGGATTATTTGCTAATGGAACATATTGTTGTTTGCCAAATCCATATTGTTGGAGTGAAATTTAGGGTCAAACTGGCCACTTGGAGAGAGGAAGACAACACCACATTTAGACAGAACTCCCCACAATAATTCATAGGAATAAACACCAGGCCATAATAACAATTTTCCTGGATAAAAAATAGATTATTTTTAAGCAAGTTTTAAGAGTTTCACTGGTGCCAATCTAGTCACAGTGGAGATGATATTAACAACTTTAAACTAAGGCTGCCAGCTACCCTAAATAATGAGAAGTTAGAAAAACTCAGCTACCCTAAATAAAGGTGAATTTTGCTGGATTTTTCATCTATCCAAATACAACAAACAATAAAGTGAATAAAGATATTAAAAGTAGGTACCATGGGATGAACTAAATATTGAAAGGAATACAAAAACCAGTGAATTGGAGCTTCTGCCCTCAAAAATTTTGCAAGCTGTCATTCTATTATGATGATTGGCTAACAGTATTATTAGATGTTAAAACTTATTTTTCCCTCAATTGTAGATGATCAGGGTTGAGGGAAAACTTATGAGTTAATGGGATAGCAAAAGACAAACCTGTCAAATAAGATTCACAGTATATTTGGGAAAAGGAGGTAGAAATAATTCAAAACTTTTTACAATTTTTAAAAATAAAAATCCCAATAATTTATAACTCTTTCTTTAGATTGCAAAGTGATATTTATAAACAAGAAGCAATTTTAAAACTGTGGCACAACAACTATAAGTCGAAAACTTGAAGATTGAGTCAAAAAGAATAAATTGCAGAAAGCAAAATTAGAAGTTAAAGGCTAAGAGACTAGCTGCAAAAGTATTGTCATCAATATCACTTTTTAGTGTTGGTTTCATAAAATATTTAATATGTAGCTCGACTGAGCTGGAAATTTAAATCTGCCTGTGAAGTCCTTGCTCAAAAAATATTACCCCCAGATGCAAAAGCAAAGTATGGGCTTACTAGACAATCCACAGAAATATGTCTCCAACTCCCAGGCAGCTTACACTGTATTAACTTTGTGGGTGAAAGTTAGAATTATGCTAATGCCTAGCGCCCTAATAAACCAAAATGTAATTATTAAAAAAAGAGGCAATTTCCAATGAGCCTGTTTTGCCGCAACTCTGGGCCCTCCTTTTATCTTTAATAACGTATTCTTTCGGTTTGTTTTCTAGCTTCCTCTCATTATTTTGAGAGGTGAGAGATCCTGCATGGGCCATCAGTGTGTGTGTGCTCAGCTGTGTCTAACCCTTTGTGACCCCATGGACTGTAGCCTGCCAGGCTCTTCTGTCCATAGAATTCTTCAGGCAAGAATACTGAAGTGGGTTGCCATTTCCTACTTCAGGGGATCTTCCGGACCCAGGGATCCAACCCACGTTTCCTGCATTGGCAGGTGGATTCTTTACCACTAGCGCCACCTGGGAAGCCCTACTGACAGGAATACATTTTGTTCCTGTTTCCATATCCCACACAGGTATGATGAATGTCATCTTTCAAGAAGTAAATCTACAAACACTAGTAGAGCATTAGGATGTCAGTGACTAATTAAACCAGGAGTTGGGCTCCTCCTAGACTAAAGGTACTTATGTCATCACTATGACAGTATGATGAGGAAGAAGCTGGATTGTATCCCTCCCTCACATCAAGATGCTCACTTAGAATATTTAGAATAGGGGCTTTCCTGGTGGTCCAGTGATTAAGAATCCGGCAAAGGACATAGTTCGATCCCTGGTCTGAGACATTCCCACATGCTGCAGAGCAACTGAGCATGTGTGTCACAGCTACTGAGCACGTGCTCTAGAGCCCGTGAACCACAACTGCTGAGCCCGTGAGCTGCAACTACTGAAGCCCTTTCACCTATAGCTTGTGCTCCACAAGGGAGAAGCCCTCCACAACGAGAACCCCATGCATCGCAACAGAGTACGCCCCCCTCACAGCAACTAGAGAAAGTCTGAGGACAGCAACAAAGACCCACCAAAACCAAAAAATAAGTGAATAAATCTTTTTAGAAAATAAATAGCATAATGAAATAAATGACACAGACACAAAGGAATTTGAACATCTGAAAATTTTAAGTGTATATTGATTTTGGCCTATACTTAAAATTACAAGGTAGTTCTTTATATTTTATTGAAATATTCCAAAACCTACAAGCTTTATAAGTTGTGCTTTTAACTTTTTCCTTGCTAAGAGTCTTTATGGGGGAATGGCAAATGGTAGACAGGAGAGAAGTGTAAAGAGTTAAGTGTCCACGTGTGAGCAAATTATGTTCCAACTGGAAGGCTGACCTGGAAATCAATAAATCGGAAATGATTATTTCAACCCATGCCACTCATAGTTAGATACTATGACACATTTTAGGACTTCTCTATACTGTACAAGTATTATATCACCTGTAGAAACATTTGCTCTAATTGAAATAAATTCTCATTTTGGTGGAGAGGGAAGAGTGGCATATCAGAATCAGATGAAATAGATGTACTGTTACAATTGCATATGCCTAAGCTGCTCTTCCTCACAGTCTGACTCTGAGTCCTATAAATTATGCAGTGGGAATAACAGTGATCTTAGTTTGGGACCACAGTCTTCTTTTTTCCATTATGGAAGCAGTAACAGTCAGGTTTTTGTTTTGTTTTGTTTTTCCCAATGGATTTTGGAAGGAATTCATGGAATGAACTGTTGTAGATGCTTAAGGCTGTGAGTACCCTATTACTATATAAGTCAGTACAAGCTGGTATTTAGTGGGAAACCTTATGATCAGATGGAGGATTGAACTAGATGAGCTTTAATGCTTCTTTTAACACTCTGATATTATGATTTGTAATAACCCAAATTTTAGTTAACAAAATTTATTAAGTGCCTTGTGTTGCCACTAAACTAGCTCTTGCAGCTACAAAAATATGAAAAAAACAGATAGCATGATTCTGAAAGTGTGGAGAATGTTTTACTGCAGCAACTACTATCATTAATTTTTTCAATGAATACAGCTGAAAGAATGATACCCAAACTTTTGCATATGCCAAAGGTCAAGGCAGCTTTAGGTAATAATGCAATAAAAACTCTGTGGTTTGTCACGTATTCCCATTCCAATCAAAAGTATATAACTGGGAGAACA